ATATTTTCATAATTAAATGTATATAATTCTCATCGACCCCTTTTCTTCCTGATTCAGAATTCTCGAGAATCCCGAAGGCATCCCATGTTATTAATGTATACAGTATGTGGGCTTAACTATAAATTTTTGACTACATTTTCTTACCATTAACGAAAACTCCCAAAAACATTTAAAAATGAACACAAATTGTAAGCAAAAAACAGTCTTATCAATTTAAATTCTAAAATCGTGAAAGTGACAGTTAATAGAAATATAAATATTAACGACATTTACGAATAAATAACGTTCAAAACCGAATTAAAATAGTGTTTATAAGCAGTCCTTTAAAAAAAGACAAAAGCAATGTCTTAGTTAAAAACCAGAAAATTTCATATATTAAAAGAATTTCGAATGTTTACATTTGACTCCCTATGCTCCAGCCAAACTTACGCCGCGAAGCGATTGCGGCGCTCGAAGTGACAGAAACATTAATTACGCCATTAAGCTATTGGCAGCTCAAGAACTCTATCGACTCTGGTTACAACATTAGTAATTTAAATTAATAATTTGCATTTAAAAGTTGCATGATAATCGCTTTAGAAACCTGCCCAAAGTCCCGATATTTCTAAATTAAAATAATTTGAAATAAATATGGGCAACTATAAATACATTTTTAATTTAAAGAAAATTTTGTTTTAAATGAAATAACCCGGTGTTATGCACATATAATTTTGTTTATGAATATACATTTTTATTACATTATGTATACGTTTATTTATTATAACAATGAAAAACTCGTATAATCAATTTAATTAAAGTGGTTTTAATTTTGAAATTTACACTTATTGTTGTTTGGGTTTCTTTAGAAAATAATCTATTTAATAGCGTTCAAAAATTTTCGCGGCACACCGGTTGAAAATCACTGCTCCAGAAGAAGCACGTGATTGCATTATTTAATGTCGACATAAAAATGGCGTGTTAAAGTTAGGATTTTTATCTGGGAATAAATCGTGTTATGATGATTAACAATCTTAAATTGTATATAACGGCTGGACGACGGTTAATTGGGTGACAGAAACTTAAAAAATTTTCCACACTTAGCAACCATACGATTAGGCGAATTTTTTTAAAAAATATTGGTAGTATATATAAATATAAATCACGAGTCATCCCAATTTATGGATTTTTATAAACGGACTACGATAAATTCAAAAAATATGTTGTTGATCACGAAAGAGCACTAAATGATTTTCAACATTAGCATAAACGTAGATGTTACGATGAAGCCGATCGAGGAAATTTTGAGGAAAATTTTCAATTACGGTAGAAAAAATAGAATATTTACATGGTATTGCATATAGGTGTAACTATAATAGGAATTAATAAATTAAAAATAAAATTTTGTTTTGAATTTCATATACTTTCTTTTGTTTTAATTAATGTAACGTGCGTAAATATGTTTGTTAATTACAAAATAATTTATTAATATTGTGATTATACTTTGTAATCTGCAATTATACTTTTTCATTTTGAAATTATTTTCGGATCACTTTTTTAAAGCCATTTCTTAAATGATTCTACAAATTTTCATAAACGAAAATATTTTTTAACTAGCAGACCCATTTTTTGCACGGGAAATTTCGATATAACTTCTATACAATTTTGTAATTCTACACAATATAAAAATACATTTAATTATAAGCGAGATTTATCAAATTTTATGTTTAGATCGTTCTTTTAACTCCCATCTCAAAAAAGTGCAACCAATTGCTTAACTTTCTCGGCAACATTTAAAACTGCATGTGGAGTCATCTGTTATGAAATTTTATTATAACTTTTTATATTTTTAATTGTTATAAGATGAATTTGATAAAAATTGTAAATGTTAGTGACGAGTAAAATAGTCATTAAGTCCGACCCTACTCGAGATGCATTAAACACGACCCCCTCTAACTCCCCATCCCTCGACCTAATAACCAAAATTTAATAGCGTCAATCCCCTAATACAGAAATCTCTCTGCAAATTTTCTTCAAAAAGCATAGAAGTTATTTAATTTAAGTGTGAACAAAATCGTGTCTTCCACACACACGCTAACATCCAAACATGCCAAAAAGTCCCACCAGTGACCAAGCGGTTCTGTTCCCTGAATACTGGAAATTCGGTTGTGGGTTCGCACCTCGCCCGGACTGGCTGGCCACGTGGAATTTTCCGGGTTTTCTTTACGTCTGTAACGCCCGAATAGGGGCCAATTACCCTTAAAGTCGTACCCAGAAAACATTATTCCCCGGTAACGACCATCATAAACGCATACTACTACTATTACATGATAATTACGTCACACTTTACCACAGGGAGATAAAGCCTAAAAGCTCATACCCAACTAGCCGATACAAGACAAGACATACAGAAAAAGAAACCCGAACTTTTTGCATTTTCCGACGTTTCTAGGTCTCCAGTCCAAAAATGTAAAAATCTGGGAGGTCATTTTTTGACCGATCGTTATATTTTCCCTCAGTTACATATAACAGATCCGGGAAAGTAAATGTGTTAAAATTTTCCGGCTAGTAAATCAATGGAAAAGAATAGGGATTTTAATAAAGAAAACGACAAAAGAATTTATTTTGTCCATTATTTGTGTGTTCTTGATCTATTATTTTGTCGCTCAGATGTCCGGTGTCCACTTGGCGATAGCCCAGTTGACCGTGTCCAATCTTAATGATCCTACATTAATCCTAGCTAAAAGTATCATAAAAAATGATTATGAACAGATTGAGTACATAATGGTCCTCGTCCTACCACTGGCCAAGCAGTTCCGTCCAGGCCGGATGGCCGAGCGGTCAAGGTGGCAGCCTACCGCTCTGGGGTACCCGGGTTCGAATCCAAACGGGTCGAAAAATCCCCAGGAACTTTTCGGGGGATGGTCCGTTCGGATATGTCTGGCCCCGTCCCTCACCACCCGGCAGCCCAATTGTGGGCCTGGGCGAACCCATAATGGGCTTGCTATAAGAGGTCCTCTTAGTTAAGGTGGAAAGATTGATTAGTTAGTTAGTTAGTTAAGGTGGAAAGATAAAAAAAGACAAACACTATCACAAAACTCAGAGATTAAGCAGCAAACACTTGAAACAAATACAGTCAAACCAGCGAACAACGGCCATTGACAAACATAAAAAAATGACATTGTTCAGAGGTTACTTTGTATGAATTTTTGTTTAATATCAAGAGAAAATCTGACACAAAGCAACGCGAATGTCCGAGTGCTACTCGAACATGTGTTAGTAACTAAATCGGGGATCGGAAGTTGGCAGCCTAAGGAGCTGTCCATAAATGATCCCACACGGGAGGGAGGGAGTTACGATAAGTCGGACAAGGGCGGGAGTGTTGATCTTCAGTGGATATCTAGTTTATATTATTCAATTTTATACAGTTTACACATTTTATTATATTTATTTCAAAATTTCTTGTGTTTTGTTTTTACATATGGTATCTATCATTCATAAAGTGATAAAGGTTTTAAGGGGAGTCTAGTTTTGTTGGATGTCCGAAGAGGAGGGTTACAGAAACTTGGACAAACTGGGATAAGAGGAGGAGAGAGAATTGGGCTTGATGATATCTTTTCTAAAATTCAACGTTTCTAACATCTTGTGGGATTAAAACAGATAAAATTCAAACTTCTTACTGTTTACCTAAGTCAAAGGCCTGGGAATAAAAGGGCCTTTCTTAGAATCTTTTTTAGTTTACAGTATGTCTTGGTTTACTGAATAATAATGGATATAGCCTGTCTGATCTGATATATATCTGTTTAACTGGCCTTTTGCTATGTTTGAGTTTGAGATCCCTGATCTAAATCAATGTCAGACTGGAGAGTTCAAATAAAAAATGCTCATATAAAAATGGCAGGATTTAATTAAATCTGGGAAACTGAACAGTTTAATGAAAGAAAAAGGTCGTGTGTTGTAGTTAAAATTCCTAAAAATCAGAATGGGAACTATATCTAAAATATGAGCAGAGGTTTCAAAGATCCATCATCTGATCAGAGTTGCAATATGGTGTGGAGTTTAATACTGAATATCAACCTTTCTCATGACTTGATCCGGCCTTATTTCCACTTGGAAACAAAGGAGACCAATCGGGAAACAACAAGAGGGAATGGAATTAATAAGAGCAAGGAATTCAGAGAAAAATCTTTTAAAAACCCAAAGTTCAAGGACAAGTGGCAATTTCCCTCTCCCAAGTTCACAAGGTGACACTGCATCCTTTTTTCTGTACTTGTGTCCTGCTATCATTGTCATTGAAGCACTATTGCATCTGTCTTCAATGAACTGCAGGCATCATCACCTGTCCTCAGACTAACCATTATATAATGTCTCCAAGCTTGATAACAACACTGCCCTAGGGCTGCCAACACATCGAGGAACTTTGTTGAAAATGAATTGAACTCTTTAGACCATAGTTTCAGTGGATCATCTTTTGCACAAAATTGAAAGCTACCAGTTTATTTCCAAATAAATGGGTATCATTGGGAAAGGTGCTTCGCTTCTGTATATCCACCATCACCCACATACCATCCTTATTCATCTTGACTTAAGTCAAACTGACTCTCCATTCCCCAGTTGGCAAACCTCACACATGGTAAAGTGTTCAAGTGTAAAATTTCAAGGTGATGAACAGTGTGTTTTAAAGAGATGAACAATTTGAAGGCAATGAACAGCTGATTTTATTCATAATGTTTAATATGACAAATTAAAAGTCACCTGAAGGTTGCTCTTCATTATTTACTGTGTTTTGTTTAATGTATTTTCCTGTAAAGTTCTCTCTAGTTGAAGTTTTTGAACTTTTGTTTTTGCAAAATCCTTTTCTACATGCTTTGCATAATCTGTATATTATACAGATTATGCAAAAGATGTAGAAAAGGCTTATTGGTTACAGCTAGAGTACTCTGAATAGGAAAACTTTAATTATGGCCACCCTGTATTTTCAATTTTGAACAGAAATAACTTCACATATAGTCACTGTATCAGTTTTTATTTTTTATTTATCATCTAAAATAATTTAATGAATTAGATATTTAATGTAATAAGCAATTTAAAAATTACTTTCATGAGTTACATGATGACCATGTATACAAGTTGGTAATTTAAAGATAATTTACTTCCTTGATTGTATACATGAAAACTTAAAAGTGTAGATGTATTTGTTTAATTACAGTTCCAGTTGGTTATTCTTAGTTCAAGATAATTTACATTACATTTGTCCTAATTCTTTTGCTTTTAATGTTGCTGCTTCAACAGCATTCATCATAGCAGCTCTGACACCAGCTTTTTCCAAGGCATGAATTCCTGTTATAGTGGTACCTCCTGGAGAACAAACAGTATCGCGAAGTACTTCCGGATGTTCTCCTGTTTCCAAAATCATTTTAGATGCTCCCTACAAAAAACTTTATATATAAATAGTTTATAAGAATTCTTAACATTATTCTAAATGTAGTAAATAATGCAATTTTAATAAGTGGTAAATTCAATTAAATATATTTAATTAAGCAATTTTTTATTTTAAAGTACAGGTAGCCTTTGGTTTATGCCGGCTCAATTTACGCCAATTCACAATAACGCCGCTGTGCAATTCGCCATTTCGTAGTGTAATTCCCCAATTTTCCCTATGCTACACTGATTTTCATTTCAGTGTTGACATATTTACCAAGCCGCAACATTGTACATTCATTAAAACAAAGATTTTTATTGAATATATTCATTTTTTCTGTTTAATATTATTGGGTATGTATACATTTGCATTAAATTAATATTAAAATACTAAACGTTTAGGTACCCATGAGTCAAGTTATTAAACTTAATAGACCAATAAATGGCGTCCGAATCCATAGCATCAGTGAATTTATCCCATATCAGTTCGTTCAGGAAAACACCTTATGACGCATTAGCACTTCCGGCAATCACAAACTATCGTTAGTGAGACAAATCTACTTCTCGTTGGCCAAATGATACTTTCTTTTATTAGCCAGACGATATCTACTTCTTGTCAGTCAGACGATATCTACTTCTTGTTAGTCAGACGATATCTATCTCTCCTTGGCCACATTGAATTTTACCGCTCAAGCTGACCTTATATATGCACTACGGCAACCGGTGGTTGACCAATTAGTGTCTCCACTGTCTCCACAACGATGTAGAGCTACGGACGTTAACCCGTCCGTAGCTCTACGTCAGGTTAACATATCCTTTCAACTATGGAAAGTTTGACTAATAAACTTTGTGAGTTAGACAATGATTGGGAGCAAAGTGCAAATGTAAAAAGGAGCATCATCACATCCATTCGACCATATTCCGAAATTCTCAATGAAAGAAAACAAAAATGTAAACAATTAAAGATGGATACTTTTTCCGAAGAATGTAAGAGATCCGAAACTAAAATTTTTTAATAAAAACATTTACTTTATTTTTTTTGATAAAATACATTTTAAAAATTAAATTTATTTGTATTTTGTATTTTATTGTATTAATAAACAAAATTATTTGTGTATTTTTTACTTATGTAGAACCTAACCCTATACCTCAGTGTAAATATGGGTTCATTTTATGCCGATTCGATTTGTAGGAATTTGTACAAATGGAACTGTGGAGTAAACTGAAAGCTACCTGTATTTCACATAAATTAATTTTAGATTTTATTTAGATGTTCAGCTGTACAATCTTAATTGAGTCATGACTATCAAAGCTTTTAATGATACTGTATTTTGTACAGAAAAACCTGTTAGATGTCAGAAGGATTCTATGTAGATCAGAGGATGGGAAAATAAGGTTTTAAGAAACATTTTAGCAAAATAAAACATTGGCTCCTTAAATAATGGTTGGTTCATTAGTACAATCAAATGATATAGAATTGTTCTTTCACTGTTAGGATGTAATCTGATTTTGATCCATAAATCTAAAAAACAGTGAATAGGATAAAATATACATTGCATATGTTAAGCCTAGTCATTGAAATATAGTAAGACTTTTGTATTATGAAGTTCTATATTAAAAATTTCTCTTTTCAATATATGAAAAGAAACTCAACAAGTGTTTAATGAGTCAAGATACAGTATTTATTCAAGTTAAGTACTTTTCAGGTTTCTCAATTCCATCTTAACATCAACAACAATGTTCTGACAACATTTTACCATTTTTGTTACTGTGTTTAAGGTAACAAATTTGTTCGTTTTTATTTATTTTTGATTCTTACTTGATGCACAGAAAATATTATATTATTTTCTTGTTTATAATTTAAAAATATCTGTTAATAATGTTAAAAAAAAAAGAAAGAAAAATTCAAATTTGTAATGTTAGTCCACTACAGTAAAAAAAATCAAGTACAAACAGTTGTTCTATTAAATTGTCAGAATATTGAATGTTAATCTGAAGATGAAATTGATAATATCAAAAAGCATTTAATCCAAATGAATATCTTGACTCATTTAAAGAAATTCAAAATTAAAATGTTTAGTGTCAGTTGGAATATTTAAATTTTTATACTAGGAGCTTGATTTGATCTATTTTATTGCATTTTGATGACTTTGATGACTTGATGACATTTTGATATTTGATGACTTGTTAGTACATACTGCTATTACAATAATATTGACATTAATTAATGTTAATATAANCTAATAATTATAATATTTTCTAGAACAATCTGCTTATCTTCAGATCAACAGTTTTTAACCATGAAAAAAACAAAATTTCTTAACAGCAATTTATAGAATAACAAGTAAAATGGCAAAGCCGCATTTGGGACAAGACTATGTCTTGGAGACTCACTACTAAGCAGAATCACTTTGATGCTCAAGGTGAGTCTTGTTCTCATTCTCCAATCTTTTTTGGTATTGCTGCTTTTGAGCATAATCATTCGAACTTCGCCGGCTATGACCACGAGGTCGTCCACAATGCATTTTTGATGAAATTAACCTATCCAGATATATCCTATCCAATGTCAAAATTTCTTTTCATTGCGTGATGGCAAGGGTTGAATTTTTGTCAATGCGTAACGAAAATTTCCCGTTTTTGAAAAAAATAATCACGGCTATTGTATTGTCCAAAATTATTTTTTTATTTTGCACAAACATTATACAGTTTAACCCGATTATAATGTCATTGGATGTAACAACAACCCTAATATAACATCTTTAGTGGCATGGCTAAAATCTGTACATGGCACGTCCTACCTTGTCCGTGAGGTTCACGTTGACCTCAACCACGTGTTATGCTGGTAAAAATTAACTGAGAAATGATCCAAGCAAATAATTTACTTAATTTGGATCGTCTACACGATATTTACAATAGTGTTGAGATATAATATAAATCGAAGATTGGCACAGCTGTCGAATTGAAAGGTTAACTAAATAAAGTAAAAAGATATCTCTCCTCATTGGAGTTTAGGAACAAAGTGAGGTCAAAGGACGAAGGTCACGCGGTGGCGTCCTCTGCCCTACACATCAAATTTTTATCAGTCCCACAATTTTACTATACTAGATAATGTTAAAAAAATTCACTTGTAACAATATAAAACCATTTTAATGTCATATTTGAAGAACTCCCAAATTAACAGAATTAGATTACAAATTTTATTTAACATAGAAGAAACTACGTGTTCAGTCCTAAGGTTAGAGTTCACTTCTTAGAATGACTATGAGTGGTACTCTGCCCCACCTACTTTGGTGGGGTGAGGTGTCTGTTTTGCTTGTCTGTAGAGGATCACCATTTTGGATTTTATTTTGACTCAGTTCTCAGTCCCCTGACTACCTGAGTCCGGATTTTTAATGTGCAAATGATTTGGGAACCTAATACTCTGTGCCAAATATCAACTCTCGACATGTACTCCTTCATACCTCTATGCTGGTAAGAAAAAATGGCAGTACAATTTTATAAACAAGACATAGTCTTGTCAATAATATAAGTTGTACAAATTTAAACACTTATTTTTCTTATAAAAAACAAGTCTTATTTTAAAAAAAAAAATTTTTTTCAATTTTTAAGAAAAATAAGTGTTTAAATTTGCTAGTAAAATCTGTTTTAGTGAAGTTTAATTACCTTAATGATTAACCTTAGAAAACTACAGCAGTACTTCTTTGAACAATTCTAACTTTGAATGCAAAATTTGCCAAAAATTCATAATGATGCTTTGAAGTTCGAACTGTACACATAGTGAAAAACTGTGCTCAAAGCCTAAATGCAATCTGTCACGTGTCCAAGTTGTCTCTCGCTCTTGCATTATGCTTGTATGTTTTCAGTGCTTTTTTGCTTTATTTTTAATGTTTGATTATATATACTGCATTGTGTGTTATTTGTTGATTTTTAACAATTTCTTCCTGCAATTTTTTATCGTCAGCAGCTTTTGGTCTCCACATATATTTTTGTATCTTTTAGTTCAAAATCTCTCAAATGGAACTTTTTAACCACATTTGACATGTTAAAGTTTAGGAGCCTCTTCCCCATACACAATCACAAGAATTTTTACTGTTTGTACAATGCTATATCCTTTCCAAAACTCACCAAAATGCTTTTGATCCAAAGACATTACTTGATTTTATTTAAATAAATAGTTAAGTAAAGAATTTAAAGTAAACTTCTAAACAAAAATAATCTCACATTATCTGTAATATATTAAACTAGCAGATGAGCCTGGTGTTGCTTGGGCAAAAAAATAAACATTCAGATTTTTAGATTCTTTCATACTTCTAACCTTTCTATTATACTATATTCTAGTATTTGATTTATATAACTACAAATGTTATCTTACATAAGGGTTAAAACACCAAGTGCCTAAGTGCCTAACGTCATGCATTTTAAAAATTCTTTAAATTGTGAGCAGTAGAGGAATAGAGAATTTTGAAAATGTGTTAGGTAAGGGTTTATCATACCAAGTGAACAATCTAATAAATTTTGTAGTCATATAAATCAAATACTATAATATAATAAATATTAAAACAAAAACTATATAAAGAGTTTGGTTTTTTAGCTTACCATTTTCACATTTATCATGAAACTTAAACAGTATGAAATGACACAATTTCATTGGTCAAGTAGACACCAATTGAAAATGTCATATCTTAAATTTTTTCTGATATTATAATTTTTTTTCTACCTCTAAGAATGTTACCTCTAAGAAACTGTTCCATTCATAGCCAAATATCAAATGGTCGTCTGATAACAAATCAAATTTCACAAAAATTGACCAAATATTTAAACTCGGCACCCTTGAAAAACCACTGAAATCATATTTTGTGCAGGCTAGTAACCTTATATTTTGGATTTTCCAATTCCAGGCCACCATACCACTGGTCCAATAGAAAGAAGGGACTTCTGTAAAAGGGGTCAAAGTAATTTGAGAAAAAGTAGTCGTTGACCTCTTCCTAAAAGAGAGGATGGTTAACT